ACAACTACAAATTTGAAAAGAAAAAAAGACTAGAAAAGAAAGAGAAAGAAATAGATTTATAGTGTTTGATTTTTAATTATTATTACAAAAAAATTTTGAAATAATTGTTATAATAGTTTTTGTAATGTGACATATGTAGACGAAAAAATTGTTAAGAAAATTTGTAAAAAAAAAATTAATTGAAAAATGTGTAAATAATAAATATTTTTTTTTTTAAAAATTCACAAATCCAAATACAATTAACTTCATAGTCCTTTCCCCTCTCCCCAAATTTGAAGAAACACCACTTTCACTATCACCGGAACTAGGGTTTGTGGTTGCTCCTCCCCTCCGACAGGTGTGGCATACATGGTCGGAATCCGATAGGCTTGCTCTTAATACCCCCGGTCTTTAAGTATTCACACATTTGTGATGCAATTCCTGTAATCGCTCGGAGTGCAAGCTCAAGTCTTTGGTAAAAGCTAATATGTCTTTGGAATTTGGGAACAAGTTTTGCCAACTTAGTAATGAAATGTCCAATATATAAAATCTCTTCGTTTATCTGGGGTTTCTTTGGAGGTAATGTCTTTTGACTTTGGATATCTTTAATTCACTGGCACTTTCAGGATTTCATAGCTTATGGTACAAATTTATTGAAGTGTTGAATGACCTTTGCTTTCCCTATGACGTGAAGTTTCTGTCTAGTAGTCCGATAATTTGTTACCTAACCATCAATCATTTGGGTTGTTGGCCATCACCAAAGCCTTTTAAGGTTTGGTAGGGGTAGGAGGTCAGAAGTTTAAATCTTATCTCCTATCACTTGCCGCTGTATGTGACTTGTCATTTTAGGTGACTTCCTCTAAATCCATACGGATGCGTAGTGCACCAATCTGTTTCGATAGTAGTTCAGTCCCAGTCGGTTCTCCTGTAAATCCAATTGGGCCCTCTGCTAGAACAGATTAGAGTAGGTGTAGAGTAGATAATTGGGAAAATTAAGAGATTCTACTAAAAGAGTGCACCACATTTGGAAATGCTAGTTTGTTACATGGTGAGTTAGGATTTGAACTAAGATTCTTCGAAAGGAAAAGATATGATGGTTGTGGCTTTTCTTTTTTAGACTGATTAAGAGACAAAGCCGCAGATTTTATTGTCAAGTTTTCTCTTTGTTTTTTCTTTTTCTTTTAAAGCAGGGGGAAGATGAAAGAATCCCTTTCATAGACCTTTACCCTGGTGCTAAAGAGAAACCACTGTGATTAAGTCAACGCCTTAGGGAAGTTGAAATAAAAAATTTCTCTTGGTAGCAGCACTAGTTTGAGATCGTAAGATATCTTTTGCAGCATGGGGCCATGTTACAGAAGATGTCCATCCATACATGCTTCAGGAACAATAATGCCAAAGAAATGGTCCTCCTCTGCCCACAAGAAGATGATGAAGTTCTCAAGGTATCCTAATTTTCATTTGTATGTTTTTAATTATGTGATTCTAGCTCTCCCACATCTAAGCGGATATCCGATCCTTTTTTGATCCGATCAGATAATGCGGATCGAATATCTTAATTTTTAGATCGAATCGAATATAACGAATCTTCTGATTAACCGGTATTTTTGCCCACCCCTTACAAATAAGAGCCGCTAGTAAGCCAAAGATAATAGCTTTAGACCAATTTTGATGTTTCCACAAAAAACCAGCTCTATGAATAATATTGTAATCTTGTATTTGAGTGTGTGTAAATCTCTATGGGCAAAACGAAACGGAGGAAGTGCTAATGATAAAAAAGAATAATTTCAGAAACCTCCTTCAAGGTTTCTGACAATTACACTTAAATACCCTCTAATATTAAAAATTATACTCCCCTCATTTTTCAGATGGATGTGACCAAATGTCACCATCAATAACTTCCAAATGACTAAATTGCCCTGAAAAAAGTTGTACATTTTCTGCTAAAAAATGAGAAAATGAAATTGCATCAATTAAATTTTTTTAATAATTCTTGGCGCCAGTTGCGGGTGATATAAGAACTTGAGGTGCCAATTGGTTACGCAGTACCAAGAGAAACCAAACTACTTTTGAAAGGGACGGACTCAAGAAACCAAAGCTTCCTCTAGTTGGTGATCCTTCATCCGGTGAAGAATTTGGGCAAAAATGTGCATGATATATAGCTATTTCAGCTCCATCAACATCACTATAGGTAAAAGATCAAATAGTTTTAATTTATTGAGCTTATTTAGAAGTTTTTTTAAGTACCGTATCTTGTTGATCATCTTAATACTTGTCATATTACCATGGAAGCCCTTCACAGTAGCATGTGGCCAAGATATAGGTGTTAGATTGCTTGTAAAAGTAGGCTAAAGGGTTAATCCTCATTTGTGGGTGTTCATTGTCTAATGAAGATGAATCAGAGGTCATGTCTATTGTGGTTGATTTTGACATGCATGTGGTGTGCTTGATGTTTTTGGAGCAAGTGTTCTGGACATAAACTAATGATGAAGTCTGCTTCTACACTTTATTGTACTGATAGTTCATTGTTGATGATCTGAAGAATTTGTGCTGAGATTTTAGTAGAAATAAAGATGTTTGATCATTGATTAGGGCCTTAATCAACTGGACCTTGCATGTTTAATTGATGTCTGTTCATGTGAGAAAAATTTCTCATTCTCTGACTTTGTAATAGACAATGAGCATCATTAAGTTGGAATTAATCATTATATGAAATTCTAATGCTTGAAAGTGTGAAAACAGGATGCCTAGTGTAGTTGTCCATGACATTATTCTTCACTACAAAGGAAAGAAAATTAGAATTCCCAATGTGAATCCTGACGAGTATTCTTACATAGTGCTTCTTAGTGATGTTTATGAAAGGGCACTTCATGAAGTTCCTGGGAATTTTAATTATCTGTTACATTTGAGACGTGTTATTCCGAGAAGTAGCGAAACTATGGATGTGAACATTGAAGAACTTGTTTTTGAAATGTTCAAGAGGCATGAAAATGAGCTATTTTTGGATTGGATGAAGAACCTTTGGAAATGGTTCCGAAGCCAGTGCTTGCTGTGCTGTTCCTGTATCCCATCACGCCAGAAACTGAAGAAGCAAGAATAAAAGAAGGCAGCTTGATCAAGGATCATAGTGCTGCAGTATACTTTATGAAACAAACTGTCGGAAATGCCTGCGGAACAATTGAGTTTCTTCATGCCGTTGGGAATATTGCTTCAGAGATAAATCTTGCTGAGGGCTCATACCCGAACAAGTTCTTTAAAACTACGGCAAACATGAACCCAGAGGAATGTGCAACATTCCTTGAAAATGATAGAGAAATGGAAGTTGCTCATTCTGTGGCAGCTACTGGTGGTGACACACAGGCTAGAGATAACGTGGGCCTCCACTTTATTTGTTTCACACGTGTGAATGGACAACTTATGAGCTTCATGGAAGGAGGTCCGGACCAGTTTCACATGGTTCTTCCTCTTCGAGCAGCTTGTTGCATGATGCAGCTAAAGTTATTCGGAAGATGATTGAGAAAAACCCAGATTCACTCGACTTGAACATGATGGCCATTCAAAAAGGGTTTGAGGAACATAGACGATGCAACATGAACATCCATTGCTGCCATTGAGAAGCTGACCCACCTGGCTCTATAAGCTTCCTGGCCTAAACCTTGAGGACTATTATTTTGTGCTTGTCATTACATGCAATGACAGAATCAGTTTTACTAGAATTATTAAGCCCTGGAAGAAGTCAGCTGTAACTCCAAAATTACCAAGTTATAGTTTTGCCTGATAAGTAAATGATGACTTGTTACTGCTCATACGTACAATGAGGGCAAATTTGGTACAAAATTATGTATCAGCACTTTTTCTCAAATTTTAAGAAAGCTTTTACCAGCAGGGACTGAAATTGTTATCAAATATGTCATTCAAGGGGAGGGGAGTGTAATTTTTAATATTAGAGAGTAATTAAGTGTAATTGTCAAAAACTTTGAGGGAGGTTTTTGAAATTATCCCTGATAAAAAACTAGTCAGAGCCAGATTGATTGGATAGGATTGGATAGAGACAAGAACCGGAAGAAGATGATAATGGAGGTCTTGGAGGCTTTGTTTTGTTTTACTCCATTGTAATTGAGGTGTGGATTTATGTCTCTTTGTCAGGCATCAAAGTCTCTAATTTTTTAATTTTTAGTAGATATTTCATTTATTTCAAAAAGGAAAAAATACACATGTAAATAGTTCATTAAGACAGTTTTTTTTTTCCTATTTTGCTGTTAGCTCATTATTTTCTTTTTTGGGCGAGGAACATTTCCCTTGATGAATTAGAAGTTGATTTCAATTTTTTAAATTGTCTTTTGCCTTTTTCTTTTGTCTTTGTTTTTCTCTTCTGAAATAATTACTTAAATATTTCTTATTTTTTAGATTTTTACTTAATTAGCTCCAGTTTACACACAATAAAAAATACTATATGCTTTCAATGATATGTAAGGTGCTATAAGAGCATTTTTGGGTGTTAACACAGATTTTTTTTTGCTGAGATCAGCACACTTAATAATGGTTGTTGTCGTCAGCGGGTCCCTGATAAACATTTGTCCATTCTAAGGGTTGGACTATTATTTGTCTAAACCCGAGGATCTATTTGGCAATTTGGCCAAATGTTGGGAAGGTGGATGTAATTAAATCTATAAAAAAGGCATAACTTTTGAAAACTTTTGAAAAAGTGAATTTGACACAATTTTTGACATAACTTTTGACTGGAATATAACTTCCTCAAAGGGAGCGATCTCTGAATAATGTAACATTTTTTGAAAATTTTGTAATTTTACGTAAATTTTTTGTATATTTTTATAACAGATGTATAATATTTTATTATTATTTATGTAGATCTCATATATAATAATTATAAATTTTTTTATTAAATTCTACGAATAATTCATGTAAAATTATAACTTGCCCAAAAACTATTATATCGTTGGTGCCCTTGTTCATGGTTCTTGTTACTAAATAACAACCATTCGTGCCTTGGTCCGTCTTGAAAATCATCACAAACCGCTTCCCAATCAATTCTCGCTTCATTTCCCCCTCCGCTCCACCATATCACTGGAAGAGGGGGCTTGTGGTGCTCCTCGCTCGCCTGCAGTGGTCGCAGTGGATGAGGTGGTGGCAAAGGGGCTTCTTTCCCTTCGGCGCCACTGCCCTTTTTCCTTCCCCTGATCATCGTCGTCACTCTCTTCACTTCACCGACAACTCACTGCACCCCACAATATCTCATGCTCTCCAACTGATCTTCAGTTTCCCCACCCCAACTGGTGAGGTCTATGGCAGGAGAAAACCCCAAATGCTTCAAAATTTTGGAGCAAGCCCAGATGATGATTGTCAAGAAGATCGACTCAGTGCCTTGTCGGACAGCGTCCTCTGCCACATTCTCTCATTTGTTCCCACAAAATTGGCAGCTTCCACATCCATTTTGTCCACCAGATGGAGGTACATTTTCTTTGGTGTACCCAAACTTGACCTTGATGATTCTCTGCTTATCCATCCTCAAACACAAGATGGCTCAAACACAAGATGGAGGTACAGGTACCCATGGTGTCAAGAAATTTACAGATTTTGTTAATAGACTACTTAAGTATGCTGAATCAATTTCTTCTGTAAGTGAGTTTCGTCTTAGATTTCAGAAACTGGCTGGCCAAATAGTTGTCTTTAATTCATGGATATCTTCAGTGCTTTCTCGCAATGTTCAAGTTCTTGGCATTGTGGTTGATACAGGGGCGGATTTAAGTGGAGGCACTGGGGACATGGGCTCCCACCAACCCTTAAATTTCTATAATATTTATATAATTTTAAGTGTGCTTCAGAGTTTTTTTAGAAAAAATGTGAAAGAATTACGTGATTTTTTAAATTAGTTCATAAATAAAATTCTAATAAGATACGTGAGGCACAAATTCTATTTCAAATAAGTTAAAAAAAAGTCTTTTCATTTTAACTAGCAAGTACCAATCATATCATTTACTTTCTTTGGGTCTCACTCTCTAATTTCCCTTCCCTCCTCTGGCTTCCATTTTTTTTCCACAATCGAGAGCCACTATCTTCCACAACCAAGTGACTAGCTATTCTCTTTCTTGATCAATTCATCCAATCATATCATTCACTTCCTTTGTCCCCACTTTCCAATTTTCCTTCCCTCCACTAGTCCCCATTTTCCCTCCACAATCGAGAGTCATTCTTACTTCCACAACCAAATTAGTTATCAAAATATAAGAACTCATAGTGAGCAATTGTAAATAGTTTAGTTTGTTTTTGAAATAAAATTATTATTACATTAATAATTTTGAATTTGTCTTTTTATATTTTTCATGGAATATATGCATCATTTTGTACTTGTTGGTGGTTTTTTTTTTTTTTTTGCTTAAAAAACTAGAAAAAGACTAGGTAAAAAATTTTAGTGTTGCTTTTGCTTCCACTAAGAATTTTTTCTGGCTCCGCCCCTGGGTTGATAGATTTAGCAATCGATATCGGAAAGTCGGAAGTCTTTCCAACTGAAATCTTTACTTGTAAAACTCTTGTAGTCTTGAATTTAGGTGGAAAGGTTGTCCTCAAGGTTCCAAAATTGCAATGCTTGCCAAATCTTAAGGTCTTGGATTTGGAAAAAATTATAATGCATGGAGATAACTCAGGCTGGGCACTTTCATCAAGCTTCCCATTGCTTGACGATTTGCGGGTTTCTGGGGTACAATTATGTGATGTTGAATTAGTTGATATCAACGTTCCTTCCCTAACGAAGTTGTCGTGGCTTTCGTACTCAAGATCAGACAGGCTTGTTTTTAATATCCCCAATCTTGAGTATTTGGAGCATATATATTTTGCAAGTCTCTTAATCGGCTCAAATTGCAAGCTCAAGTCTTTGGTAAAAGCTAATCTATCTTTAGAAATTTTGGAGGAATTGAATGAGGACGAGGTTCATCCGTTTTGCCGATTTATAGATGGGATGTGTAATGCAAAATTTCTTCGTTTCTTTGGGGGCTCTTTGGATGTAATTTCTTTAACGTTTGGACGCCTTTGTTTCAGTTGCATATGCAGGATCTCATATTTTATTCTACATATTAGAAATAGGAAACATCAACTATTAGAAAGTTGGTCTAATTATGCCAGCAATGCCTTCCTTAAACTAAAACTTTTCATGAACATTGAATACAGCTCTACACTATTACCAACCAAAAAATCATCATTGAAATTATTGCATCATCTTCTAAAATCTTTGTTCAATACAGATCAATTGTTGTCAATCATCTTCTAAAATCTTTATTAGCTGTAGTGACTCATACATAATATCAAGATTCTCAAATTTGCAAATCAATCACAACAAAAAAAGTTTCGATTTATTAGCCGCATTGACTCATACTTAGTATCAAGTTCTATTGTATCTGTTGTTAAATTACAAATCTATTATTTCAAATACATCTTCAACCTGCCACAATAGCAGAGATGTAAACCAAATCGTACTAGACAATTTCTAACAAACCGTTAATAAAATTTATTTTGTATCAGAAAAGTATCAAGATTCTCAATTTTGCAAATCAATCACAACAATGGGAATTTTTTTCATCTCTTTCATATCACCAAAATATGTCAACTGACTTATGATAGGATCTTTTTATCGGATCACTACCCAACACACAATATATCACAAAATGCTTCTTCTCATATCTCTGTTGAATTAGGCCAATCTTTTCTATTTGTCAAATAACTTAACTACCCTAGGACCAATCTAGTGGTCCAATTTTATCCAATATTCGACTACTCTAACTCATCAAAAATTCACATTTCAAAATCTAAGTGTTTAATCCCCATAGTCTAATAATAAGTTGCATGGGCAACATTTCAACATTAAATCACATCACACTTGTATTACACTAAAATGGTGCCCCCCCCCCCCCACACACACATATATGAATTTTTATTGGATCTCTAACCTTCTAATTAGTTGTCTGCTTGAAGATTTAACATTTTCAACTTATAATCATCTTCTACATATTTTGATTTTTACTGCTTGTGTATCTTGGATTCAAAAGTAGAACTGAAATATATCATTGAAAATTTCAAGAAAAATTAGTTTGGGAATGCAATTTAAAAGCTATTACTATGCATTCGACTTCACAGAAAGTGAACTAAATATTATTCAAAATTTTGGGGACATTAAGGGTAATTCTAATCTTTTCGGGAGTTCAAAATGTATCCTTTTCTTTTTTTAATAAAATAGAAGATAATATTATTAATAAACTAGCTAAAAATCGTCTAGCATGATTTGCTTGATAAAGAAAGCTGTATTAATGGTAGAAAATACATAGGACATGTCATAAATATATCTAATTTAAAAAACGTTAGATTTAGTACAGTTACAAAATAAGAAAGTTTAGACTATGAATCACAAACCATCAAATTTGATCAATTGCATGAACTGCTTCATAAATATATGTCCATGTCTATTCCCTCAAATCTGCTTTGCAACTAGTTCAAGTTTAAAATTGATGACACAAAAAATTTCAGAACTAACATGTAGATTTGAAAAAACTCTTAAGTATGAGACAAATAAGAAAAAACTACACAAAACTCTCACTAGGATAGTCTAGAGAGAAAAAAAAATTCACTAATAAATATTAGAAGAGAAAAAACTCTAACTAAAATTGTGAGGACCCGAATTTTTTTTATTTTACTTACTTACTTTTATTTTATTTTACTGGTTCATTTAATCATTTATTTAATCTTTTACCCCAATTAATTTATTTCATTTATTTTAATTTCATTTACATAGAACAATGTCTCATTTTATGTTTTAAAAAGTTTCGCTAGTAAAATTAATTTTTCTGCAGCTCATTTGGTAAGAAAGAGCGATTTCACGTTTTTCGAGACAAAATTCGGTCCGAGAGTGCAATAATCTTGGAGAATTAAGGATAATCAATAGTAGACTAAGAAAAGTTAATTGAGGGATTAGAGGTGAGTGAGATAAATTAAGCTCAATTAGGAGCACTAATTGCTCACTATTCAATTGTTGACTTTAGGGAACAAAAGCACCTTTATGTCAATCTTTCTTTCACACCATCAAATCACCCAACTACCACCCAAAACCTTTCTTCCTTCTCTCTCCCTTGGCCGACTCCCCCTCCCTCATTTCCTACCAAAAATTTCAGCTCCCTTGTCTTCCATTTTCCTCCAAGAAGACTCTCCAAATTTGCTTCTTTTCTTGGTTCTTCGTACAAGCTTGAAGGGTGGCTTGAAGGAGGAAGGGACTTTGGTGGTTCAAGAGCTTGTACCCTAGTGGTTGGTATTCATTCTTGGAAGCAAGGTAACCCTCCAAGTTCTCATCTTTTCCCTCTCAACTTATAGTAGTTAGTTAGTTTATCTAGTTAGTCTTTGGGTTGTTGATGGGTTCACAAGAACCTTGACACTAGGTAGAGGACTTGAGGTGACTTTATAGGTAGAGGCTTTGAGGATTATTGTGTGTTTACTTGCTTGTTTGATGCTTGTTTTGATGAGATATGGCTAAGTTTTGGGTTAGAAAGTTGAAAAGAAAACTAGAGGAAAGAAAGAGGCTTGCTGTCCGAATTTTTGGTTGGTTGAATCTCTCATGTTAATTTCGAATTTTGTTGTTATTTTGGTGCTATAATGCTTGATATATGTTGGTGTTTATATGTGTTAAATATCTCCCAAAAAGCTTTACAATTGGTTGAGTTAAAGTATTAAGTGAAGAAGAAATCTGGAAAATTTTCTTACCAGGAGCTCCGACCAGTGTTCACGTTTTGGGTCATAACTTTTTGTATGGGAGTTGAAATCAAGTGCCATTTGTGGCATCTGAAACTAGACTTCGAGGGCTTTCCAACGGTATAAAATGTACCTCCTAATTCGTTTCCTATGAACCGTAGTGAACCGCAAATATAACTGATTTTCCTCATTGTTTTCATCCGAGAAACCAACCTAGCTGCAGTTTGTAGCTTGATTTCTCTGATCTTGCAAAACAAATTTTAAGACAGTTCCTTCTAGTGAATTGTAACCTTTTGAACCTAGTTTTCAACACCGTAAATCACGCTAAATTTTGAGTTGTGTAGCTTCAGTTATGATCAGATTTTGAAAATCTGTACTATTGTATCTTGGTGTAGAAAGGTTCGAATTGAGTTTCGTTTGTTGCATTTGAAACTAGATTTGGAATTCTATGTGTGATATAAATTTTAAGGGTTGATTTCATTTTTACGAATTTTGCCGAATTTTCAAAGTTTACTAAAATTGCAAGTCTGTTTTGCTCTGTCCTGTCTGGAACGGTGACTTTGAACTAAACTTTGAATGATTCGAATTGGAGTTTGAGAAAAGTGTCTTCTAAAGAGTTTTAGTACATCAAGTCTATTTCTAACGGTATAAAGTTTCCAATTTTTGGACTTACAAAAAAAACCAATGCTCTTGTTATAGCTAGAGCTGTTAATCAAACCGAGTCGAGCTCGAGCACCTGATAATCGAACTCGACTATAATCGAACTCGACTCGAATTACTAATCTAGCTTGCTCGAGCTAATAGTTGTATTGTCTTAGGAACTCAAAATTAGCTATAAATAAAATGAAATATACACAAACTATTAGGTAAAATAAACACTTATCAGTAGCTCCGGTTGCACTCTTGGCAAAAAGCTCCTTGCAATGGTTGCACTTCACTTTGACTATCCCATTATCCAGTACAAATATTGTCATTTCATCCCCTATACTAGATTTTTTCTTCCTTTGCTTTTTGTCAAAAGGTCCAGCTCCATCATCTCCATCTACTTTCTATCCTCCTTCATTGCCCTCACCTTCTACCATTTCCAGCTCTTCTTCACTCATCTCATCAGCTCTTTCTTCGTTGTAGTTCAATTGTTCCATGTCTTCAATGTTTTGCTCCATCACAGAATTTGATGATGAACCTTGGAATGAATTGAATGGAGAGTTGTACGTACCTTAATCAAAACACATGCAATAACCAATACAACTTCTGATTAGCCAAAACAGAAATTTAGATTAACATTTCTAGGAAATAAGGTACAAAACAGATAAGGTACAAAATAGATTCCAAGAAATAATCTTCTTTCAAGCCAGTTTTAACATTTCTCTAACTTGTTCCTATCTCAAGCTTAAATTCTGATTATTGAAACAACAAAGAAATATCTAAAACCTATGATTAAAACTTTCAGCTATTTCCCTCCATATATCTGAACCCTTTTCGGCTTGGTTTCTAAAATTTTTTCCTTATCAGCAAAACAATAATTAATTTAATCAACAAAAAAGCAAAGCAAAATACAAAATTTTCCCTATTAGCAAAAATTTCGTTACTTGCTTACTTGTAATTAAATTTTTCCCTAATTAATCTCTAAATTCTTGGTATAAGGTTCAAAATAATTTCAATGTAATGCAAACAAAGATATGGGATTCCAATCTCCAATTATATTGGTATTTCAGCAAAATAATATATAAATAATTAAACTGAAAAAGACAAAAAATTAAGCAAAACCTAGACATCCTCTTACATCCAAAAATAAATTGCAAATTCAACAAGTGGTACCAGATATGTAGTCAGTCGGTGATATGGTAGTAGCCCCTGGCTCTACTGAGGTGGCTTCATGGTGAACTCATGGCAAACTGCTCACGAACTCACGAAAACAAGTGGCGGAGCGTCGCTAAACCCTGAGATGATGGATGGATTGAGTGAGTTGGTTTGGGTCAAGGTGGAAAAGCCGAGAAGGTAATGGCTGCGGTCCTGTGGAAGACGGGAAGAGGAGAAAAACTTAGGACAACGCCGCATTGGGAGGTCGAAACTAAGGTGCCAACGACCAATATTCTCCTGATTGGTGATGGTGGTGAGATGGTGGACAGATTGATGATGGTGATAAGAAGGTGCAGCTGCGGGCTGTGGAAAAGGGAAGAGGAAAGAAAAATTAGAGTCAGGAACGGGAATGAATTAGGATATAATTATCAGATAGGCAATAAAATGACACTAATGCCCTTATATTTCGAGCTTGTCAAGTAGTTAACGAGTCGAGCTAAGCTTCGCTTGTTTCACAAAAGAGTACATCTATAACTCGAACTCGACTCGTTTATTGAGAAAAACGAGCTAAGTCGAGCCTTTAACGAGCAGGGTCGCGGCTCGCGAGCTACCTAGTTTGCTTAACAGCCTTAGTTATAGCACTGGTAAAGAATGCTGCTATAACATGCTACAAAAAGGTAATTTCACCGCTGCCCACTACATAAAACGCTTGTCTCGTATGCACTAAAATAATGACCAATATATCTAAAATTGACAAATACACCCCAAGAAGGCAGTCGAAACTCACACATCAAATGCAGAACCCAACTTCTTTTTATATATGTATATATTTCTTAAGTATTGCATTGACTTTTGTTTTTTCTATGATGTGAAGTCTCTCTACATGGAAGATCATTTGTTACCTGAATTTATAAATTTGACATATTTGGAGCTTCTTTTAAGGTGGGATGACAACTGGGAATTCTTAGAGATTCCACTCAAGAGTGCGCCAAATTTGGAAGTTCTAGTTTGTGACATGGTCAGTTAGGATTTGAACGTGATTCTTAGAAAGGAAATAGATATAATCATTTTGGCTTTTCATGTTTTAGACTAAGTATTACAAAAACTGCTTGAACTGATTTCCAAGTTTTTCCCTTGGTTTTTCTTTTCTTTTTTTTAAATCAGGGTCAACTTGAAATGGCTACTGATACATACCTCTGCTTTGGTTCTAAAGAGATACCACTGTGCTTGAATCAGCATCTTAGGGAAGTGGAAATAAAAAATTTTTCAGGGTTTGACGAGTACGAGTTTGATATAGTAAGATATCTTCTAAGCATGGAGCTGTGTTATAGAAGATGACTATTTTCTGCTTCAATAAGGGATATATCAAAGAAATGGTCCTCATCAGCTCGTAAGAAGATAATGAAGTTCTCATTGCGTTCAGAAAGCTGTGAAGTTGTGCTTATTTTGTTGGTGCTTGTTTGTATTAACTTTTGGTGAAAATCATCACCTATTAAACTCAAAATCCTTATGGTGATTATTAAAAAATAAATTAACAGCAAAATTGTGCAAGCGTACCTGGATTCTCTCTGTATCTTTATGATGAGATATCAGGAAAAATGTATTTTGTGGTACTAAAAATATGATAATAATAATACGTGTGACTTGGGGAACATAACTCTATTTATAGATAACTTTCCTGTTATCTTTTGAATTCTTATTTCCACCCATCATAGAAATAGGAATTATCATTAAATCTCTACACATTAAAGGCCCACATTTTATTAGATATATTAAAGCCCAAACTATAATTGATCAATTTAATTGGATTTAATTTTATTTGATAGTTTGCAACACATAATTATTCATATATAAATCTATCGTTGGATTAAGGATCCAACATATCTAACTTATGTTGTAATACTTTGCACTATAGATTCTCAAAGGGTTCGAGGAGATCCATATTTTTTACTTAAGAGGAATAGACGTTGAAGCAGAACTCTGTTGTAAAATTCTGTGCTGAATGTTTCTTCCAAGAGATGCCGTGTGTTAAGAACATTCTATGAACCAAGCTTACAAGATGATGGTGCATTCTTTCATTCTTCGCCTGTTCATTACTTCTGCAATTGTAGTACAAAACAGCACTGTAGTTAATCCTTTATGCCATCTTTTGAGATCGCTTAGGACATATAGAAGACAAGAAACTACAGGAATTTCGTAGATTGTCAATACTAATGATTACTTTGCCGTATTTGATAACTAATTCAACAATTAAATTTAATGAATTTAGATCTTAACATATTTGGATGTGTTTGATAATCAAAAATTAAACATTTAAATTAATTAAGTGGCACTGAATTTTTTAGACAAGAATTGCTCTAAAAAATAAGTGATAAACTATTTACTTACTACTTAATGTGAGAAATATTCATTTCAAGTGCAATTTTATTCAAACATAATAGGTTCCATACTCTTTCTTCAAGCGCTTGCTTAAGAACAATATCATTCACAGAATATGATAAGCCTCATAGTCTTTCTTCAAGCGCTTGCTTAAGAACAATGTCATCCAAAGAACATGCTGTATTTCAGCAGTTTATCTTTTCAGGTCATTTTTAATCTAATTGTTGGATCTTTCTATCCTCCTAGTGTTGAAGTTTGCAAAATATGTACTTGTTTTTGTGGAATGTGAAAAGAATTATATTTTGGGATGTTATAATTTGACAATGATTAAAATCTTTCAAAATCCGCTTGAATAAGTTACTCTACTCTTCAATCAGCCCTTAAAATATGCTATGGTCCTATTCTGGCCATGTAATATACAATTGCAGAAAATATGACCTACAACAATCTTTGGAAGCCTTTCCCATTGTAAGGTGGAACTCAGTAAGAATTTGTTTCCCAACTTTGAGCTAAGATAAATTTTGCAGACGATCGAATTAAGCCTATTTATCTCTAAGACCTAATATAGTTAATTGATAGGGATATTAGTTAAGTAACTGTGAGGTTTTTAGTTCAACTCTCAAACCCTCATCGTTTCTCCTTCTTCTTCCCTATACAGTTTGGAGTCTCTCCTTAAAAGGCAGAAAAAAGAAGAAAAAAAAAAGCCTTGTTTTGTTGTTTCAGATTCAGTAATTACAAGTTCTTGTTGAAAAACAAGATTGTCAGTATGCTAGTGCATTGAATTGGTGGCCGCTAGGAGAACCAAAAATCTCTCTTTTGGTTATATTACAAGTTAAGGATTACGCATCTTTTTATCACATTTAGCGTTTGGGGTCTCATTGAGACACCATAGCTGAGTTATGTATGTGGGATCCATTTTACTTCTCAAATTCTATCCATTAAGGGAAAAAAATTGTCACATTCTGATCTATTGGCATTTGTATATACATACTCAAGGGAAGATATAAAAAAAATAAACAATAAAAAAGTGGTCAACTTTGATGCTGACATTGATATTTGGTAAAACTAAAATTAAAACCTAAGAAAGGCTATTGCGTTTTTTTTTAAGACTTGAACCAAAACCTCTCACTTACAATTTATCTTTTCAAATTCGGATCTGACAATGACTCGGATGAGCTCAAAGGTTAGGAGTCAATGGGTTCAACCAGAATTGAATCAGTCTAAGAACTGGATGATGTTATAAAAAAAATTATTTAAAATTAAAATATGATATAAAATAATTAAGAGCATGTTTACATACCTAAGAGCATGCATGCTAATATTAATAAAGACATATTTGTATATATTTCATGTTCCAAAGCTATTTACAAAGAAATTAAAACAATCAAGTAGATTATTCAATGAACATTAACAAGTTTAGAATCAAAATTTTGGACTTGTTTAAAAAATAATATCAAACTCTAGGATACCATTCATAGAGTATGAAATATTTCAGGTATATTAATAGTTTTCAATAACCAAGGGATCAAAACATAATATTGAAAAAGCTTGACCCCAGAGTTATACTTCCCCATTCGACCTCTAATCCCTAACGCAGGCTGCCACAGTACTACTACTCCATTTTCATCGTCTTCTTCTCCTACCGTTCTGTAAGCTCTTTCTTCACTATTTTTAGGGATAATTTCAGAAACCTCACCTGAGGTTCGTCGTAACATCATTCAGCTCCCTTCAAGTTTTTAAAATCTTAATTACCTTGCTTGTCAACTTGACTAGACTAAATATTCCTATCAAAGGTAATAAATTGACAACATTACCCTTATTCTTAATAACTATTTAATCAAAAAGCCAAAACAAAATAAAATTTTAAAAGCAAAAAATGTAAATTAAAAAAATAAATTGCTAGCTCATAATGGTCCATATTTGATATTTCTTTACATTGGGCTAATAGTGGGAAAACAAAGGATGTGGATAAATTAAATCTAATCAAGATCAACCACTTAAAAGGATTTTGGAGAGTAATTAATATCTTAAAAAATTTCGTGCAAAGTTAAAATTAAGGAAGTCAAGATATTTTTTGGAGAAATATGTTTTAATTCATGGTATAGTTTAAGTTGTATTGAAAACTAAAATAATCTCTTCATATGTGTGAATTTTTCAAGGTGTAAATTTTGCTTTTGTTTCAATGCAACTAAAATAAATAGTTTACGTCAAGGAATTTACACCTTATAAACATTTAACCTTATATTATTTTTTATTGTTGTTATAAATTCCATAAGTAGGATAACATAAGGGTAGTATTGGAACAAAACTTTTATCTTTCTTGTATTTCTTTCAAAGGGGTTAAAATGTTATAAGAAATGTCAATCCAAGAGAGGTAAGTGAGATTTTAAAAATCACAGGGGAGCTAAGTGATATTATGGAAAACCTCAGGGGAGGTTTCCGAAATTATCCCTTTTTTAATTTTCATTTCCATTCTTATTTTGTTAGTTATTTATTCTCAAACTCACAAAACATCAAATTTTATCTGTTTTCTTCAAACTTTTCTCTTCTCAATCTCCCTTTTTTGGTTTTTTTTTTTGGGTCTTTTCTCTTTTTGGATGCAAGATCTACGATTAGATCTTGTTTAAGAAAAGGGTCAAGCATTGATTTTTGATGACTGTATTGAAGTGAGAGAAGTGAAAATAGATTTGCAGAAAATATTAGAATTTCTCTTCTCCATCTCCCATTTTTGCTTTTTTTTTTGGGCCTTCTTTCCTTTTGGATGCAAGATCTAGGATTAGATCTTGTTATCCTAGATCTTGTTTAAGAAAAGGTTCAAACATTGATTTTTGATGGCTGAATTGAAGTGAAAGAAATGAAAATGGATTTGCATAGAAAATTTGAAGGATTTACCATGAGTTTTTAGGAAAATTCGGATCAAACGCTTGGCCGATTCTCAATTCAACTATTTGGATCGATCAGCCTGGTTTAAGTTAAAAAAAAATGGTTTAAAATCCCTCCCACCTTATCACCCTATTTAACTCTCCCTTCTTCTTTTTTTTTTGTGAGAATTTGAAATCAAAATTTCATATTTACAATTTCTCTCACTTTATCATCCAATTCATTTCTCCCCCATTAAGTTCAATTTCAATAAAAAATTCATTCTCTCATTTAAAAATTACATTTGTCTTATGAGTGCCTCGTGCCCCCGAGAGTTGAGACACTCGTTAATTCGGTGTTAATTTGTTAAAAAACATTGAAATTAAATAAAGAGTGATAAATATATGCAAAAGAAATACAAGAAAATGGAATACACGCATTTACACGATAATTCTTGCATATAAAAATATAAAAATGTTCATCGCGTTGCAACGCGTGTAACAAAACCTACTTTTGAGTTTTCCTTTTTTGACCTCTGACAGTCAAAGTCAAACTGGCGAACCTTCCGATGGCATCCACGGTGGCATTGAATCATCAGCAGATTTTTTAAACAGATTCTCTTCTGATCCACAGAAATTATTAAAACAAAAGTATATCCTGTTCTAAAAAATGGACGGATTCCAGATGCAACATATCAACAATGATGATAGCTTTTGCCACGTAATCAAATCCACTTAGAATCCATCATTCCAAAATCCACCCTTCTATCTCCCATTGGATTGGTCTCTTCAAAACTTTCCCAAGTCAACATTGCCGCCTTCTGAAAATAAATGGTGGCGCCTCACTTGTTTCAACGCGTTTCACTTTCTTTCTTGTCTCCTTCCTCGACCGACATGTCTATAAATGGCTTCACATATCCCTGTTTAAGTTATATAAATCTCCTTTTTAACATTTCCAAGAATTCAGATTGAAGAACGGGGGAAAATGATGGCTTCTTCCACTTTTCATGAAGTAGAAGGAGATCTTTTTGACAGATTACCAGACCCTATCGTGCATTTAATCTTCAACAAAGTGCAAGATGCAAAGACTTTGTGTTTATCCATGTCCGTTTGCAAGCGGTTTTATGCAATCGTTCCAGAAGTCGACGCGATTTTCCTGTCAATGAAGAAGGAAAATCAACAGAATCCTATTAAGAAGAATTCCAATGAGCTCAAGAAATCATTCAAGAATGTTGTTGGGAAAGTTCTCGCGAAGCCCTTTAAATTTCTGAGTCAGTTGCTCAAGTTGAAGTCAGGTTCTTGTCATCATGATGATG